TCATTTGATATTATCACTATTTTTAAATTTATCTGCTCTAATACGTGTGTAGTCATATCTGAATGTGGTCTTCATTTGCATTTCCCTAATGTCTAAAGATGATTAGCATCTTTTCATGAGCTTATTTGCCATGCATATATCTTCTTTAGTGACATATCTCTTCACATCTTTTGCTTATTTTGTATTTGGATTGTTTCTTTATTACCTGTTGATTTTGAGAGCTCTTTAAGTATTAAGGAGCCCTCGTGGCACAGTGGTTAAGAGCTTGGCTGCTACGCAAAATGTCGACAGTTTGAATCCACCAGGTGCTCCTTGGAAACCCTATGGGGCAGTTCTACTCTGTCCTATAGGGTCACTATGAGTTGGAATCAACTCGATGGGGATGGGTTACAGGTTGTGTACTCTAGACATGAATCATTTGTCAGATATGTGGTTTGTAAATATTTTTTCCAAGTTTCTAGCTAGTATTTTTATCCTATTAATAGGGCCTTTTGCAGAATAAAAATTTTTAACTTTTGATAAAGTCCAATTTATTGCTTTTTTTCTTCTATGGATCATGCTTTTAGTGCTATGTCCAAAAACTTTTCACCAAACTCTAGGTCCCAAAGAGCTGATGCTATGTTATCTTATAAAAGTTTCATAGCTTTACATTTTACATTTAAATCTGTGATCCATTTTGAACAATTTTTTTGTATAAAATGTGAGATTTAGTTAGAATTTTTTTTTTTTTTGGCCTGTGGACATCTTATTACTCCAGCACCATTTGTTGCAAAGATTATCCTTCCTCCATTGAATTGCTTTGTTAACAGTCAGTTGGCTATACTTATGCAGCACTATTTATAGGACTTCTGTTCCACTGATATATATGTTTTTGACGAGCTGCTCTCAGAATTCTTTCTTTGTCTTTGCTTTTGGAAAGTTTGATTATGATATGTCTTGGTGAGTTTCTTTTGGGGTTTATCCTTTGTGGGGTTCATTGAGATTCTTGGATGGAAACCTTCTCACCTTTCATGATATTTGGGAAGTTTTCTGCCAACATGTCTTCAACGATTCTCTCTGCAATTTTTCCTTCTCCTTTTCTGTAATTCCTATTACGCATAAATTATTTCTCTTGATGGTGTCCCACATAACTCTTAGGCTTTCTTCATTCTTTTTTCTGATTGTTCCTCAAACAAATTAGTATCCAGGGATTTGTCCTCTATTTGGCTGATTCTTTTTTCCATTGATTCAATTCTACTTCTATGTCCTTCCATTGAGTTATCCATTTCTGACATTTTATTGTTAATCTTCTGGATTTTTAGTTGTTTTTGTATGGTTCATAATAGTTTATTTTTTCTTGTATGGTTTTCCTGAATTCTTCTAGGGATTTTTTTTTTCTTTCTGTTTTTTCGTTTATCTTTTTGAGGAGCCTAAATGAATGTCTTTTAAATTCCTCATAAGGTAGTTCTATTACCATTTCTTCCTCAGGAAGGTTTTCTGTCCCTTCATTTTGTTCACTTGTTTGAGACATTTTCTCTTGTTTTTTCATATGATTTGTTATTGTCCATAGCCTCCAAGGCATTAAGGTGTTAATTAATTAATTGATTATATGTTTGTTTGTCCTGATTTGTTTTGTTTTGTTTTGATATATTAGGAGATTTGTTTCACCTCTTTCTGTTTAGAATGTGTTTCTTCCCTTGTGTTATTTTTACTTGTTGTTGTTTTGTGGTACTGGTCTATGTGTGACTTTGGTAGTATCAGTTGACTGGGTGTGATTTCCTCACACTAGTGGGTACAGTGGGTCACACCCACATGTGGGTTCTCTGTGGTTAGGCTCATATGTCTTCCCTTACAGGATTGAGTAGATGAGGGAGAGCAGGTTCTTTCCCTGCTATTGAGTGACAAGTGTTGAGTGGTCAGGGTCCCTTCACAGCCCTTGTGGGACCATGGGTTCCTTCCAGGTTGGTGCTAGAAGTTAGTACATTTTCTGGAGGTCAGGGCAGGATGTCTCTGTAACTGCTGTGAGGGAGTGCTACCCAAATCGATAGAATAGACCCTCTGCATGTGCACAAATTGGTGTCTCGGTAGGTGGTGGGGGATCAAGGAGTTTCCGTGCACGTGTAGTCAGCCTGCCAGAACTGTATGAATGTGGGATGTGTGAGGTTACAGCTTGGTGAATGTTGGATGAGGGCTCTAGGATCTCCTGCTTGTTGTTTGGCAGAGTGCAGATGGTGCCTGTCAGGATGTGACAGGTGTTGCTGATAAAGTGATGTGCCTGTCATGCCAGTCACCTGGTGTGGGTGCAGGGAGTATTCTCACCAGTTGCTGGGTTATGGGTGCTTGCTTCACTCCAGATTTGTCTACACAATATCTCTATTTTCTATTGGGAATTCTGTGAATTTGCCTTCCTGTGCTCCTCACCCAGGAACACTGCTTACTTTGTCTTAAGGTGGCCATGCTGGGCCAGGCCAACTGGCAGGGCGTCTATGATCTGTAAATCTCCTCATTCACTGTTTTCATTCAGTTTCTCCTTCCATTAGGTGTTCTATCTAATTCTTCATCCTTCTGTTCGCTGTTCAGTGTTCCAAGATTGTCATCTGTATCTGTTTCACCTGGTTTCTCGGATCTTTGCTGGTGTGTCTGACTAAGATGCCATGTTAGGTTGTTTCCTCTCCATTGATATATATGTATCTACTCCTCTGCCACTACCACAGTCTTGATTGCCATAGCCATACATTAAGTCATGAAATTGAGAGTGTGATTCTTGCCACTTTATTTTTGTTTTTCACAAGTGTTTTAGCTATTCTAGCTCTTTTGCCTTTCAATATAAATTTCTGAATTATTCTATTTATATCTACAAAAGTCCTTGCAGGAGTTTTGATAGGAATTGAGTTAAACCTGTATATCAATTTGGGGAGAATTTGACATCTTCACTATGTTGTCTTCTGATCCACGAGTATGATGTATCTCTCTACTCACTGAGACTTTCTTTGATTTCTTTCCTCGACATTTGGTAGTTTTCAGCATACATGTCTTGTACACGTTCTGTTAGATTTACACCTAATTATTTTATTTTCCAAGTAATTGTAAATGGTATTGTATTTTCAATTTTAGTTTCCACATATTCATTGCTAGTATATAGAAATACAATTAAAAAATATATATATATTGACCATATATCTGAGACCTAGCTGAATGACTTATTAGTTCCAGGAATTTTTTGGTAGATTCCTTGGGATTTCTACATAGACTCTCATGTCATCTGATGGCCCATGACATCTGGTTCATACACATTTAGGGTTGCTATGGCAAATAGGGATAGTTTTATTTCTTCATTTCTAATTGGTGGGTCTTTTATTTCATTTTCTTTTGTTATTTCACTGCTTAGAACTTCCAGTACTATTTTCAATGGCAGTAGTGAGAGTGGACATCCTTGCCTTGTTCCTGATCTTCGGTCCTGTTGGTTGATGATGTTCTATATCCCTGCTGATTTACTGTCTAGTTGTTCTATGAGTTGTTTAGAGAAGACTTTTGATATCTTCAACTATAATTTTGAATTTTTCTATTTGTCCTTTTAGGTCTATTGGTTTTGCTTTACATGTTTTGCTGTTTTGTTGTTTGAGCCATCACATTTAGGATTGCTATGTCTTCTTGAATTTACCCTCTTAATATTATGAAATGTAACTCTCTGTCCCTGATAACTTTTTTTTTTTTTTGCTTTGAAGTTTACTTCATCTGATATTAACATACTACCCCTGTTTTATTTTGATTAATGTTTCCATGGCATATTTTTTTCCATCATTTGACTTTCAATCTACCTATATCATTATTTTAGGAGTGAGTTTCTATTGGAGACAGCATAGAGTTGGATCTTTTTTTTTTTTTAATCTGCTCTGCCAATCTCTGTCTTATAATCATTGTATTTAGATCATTTATACTTAATATAATTATTTATATGTTAAGGCTTAAGTATGCCTTTATATATATTTTTCTGTTTCTTTTTCTCTCTATCTTCTTTTCCCTGCATTCCTGTGGGTCACTTAAACATTTTTTAGAATTCTATTTTGATTTATCTATAGTGTTTTTGAGTGTACCTCTTTGTATAGATTTTTTAGTGTCTCAAAATGCTATGGAGAATAGAGAAATATTTCAGAAGGAAAATCTAACGTTGATGAAGAGCAAAAGAAAACACAGAGTTATCAGTATCATAAATTTATTTAACATACAAATATAATGTATTTTTAAATTCCCTTCCTTTATTTCTCCTACTCTCTTCTGTCCATCCGATGAAGTACATAAGTTTCCATTTATTGAGCATTTCCCTGTTGAAATTCTAAACATTATAAGAAAAAGTATAAATATTAGGGAAATTCTATGATCTACTGAAGGAATTTTTTGTTTGTTTTTCAATTATAAATATTTTCACTTAAAATTTTATTTATTTTTCATGGTAGGGATCGTTGACATTTTACAGATTTTAAAGTGTAGAACTGAAGTTCTCAAAGCAAATACTGTATTGTCAAAAATAAATCCGGTCAACCAGTCTAGAGGAAGGTCTTGTACGTTACATCTCTCTTGCTGTGCTATATGGATAATTAAAGTGACATGTTACCTGGCCTTACCTAACAAGTTTAAAAATATCCTAGAAAAACTATGAATGATAAATGTAAGATATTATCACTGAGTATAAACTGTAAACTAAATATTAGATGATTTAATTTTTATATATGACAAGTTCTTGGATTCATTCTCAAATAAGCCACCAAGATACCAGTAATTATACTTTACTTTTTTTCCCATTGGGAAATTCTATAATACTTTTGAAATAGTTCAATTCATAAATAATACATCAGGAGTTTTTTATAATACGGTAAACTCAACTTTTATAATATAGGATACACTCATCTAAAGATGCAGTCTTTTGCAGAGAACTGAAATGTTTATTGTTTTTCTTTTCTTTCTTCCTTCCTTTTTGCCTCCCTCCCTCCCTTCTTTTCTCTTTCCTTCCTTTTTTTTACTGTTTATACTTTACCAGCACTGCAGGGGGCATTGTACTCTTCTATGGTGAGTTCATCTGAAGCACAAAAAGGACAGATATCGTGAAGAAGGAGTGAAGACATTCAGTAATAGGCACCTGAGCAGTTAATCATCAATTGTGTAAACTAAGTGAGAAAGTAGTGCTCTGACATATGAAGTAGAGCTATGGAGCGAATAAAAGTGACTTACTTCTATACGAAGTCATTTAGGATTGAGAGAAGGAGACCAAGGGAGAAAATTGGGTTTAGGCACAGAATTGAGGGACAGGTTACACAGATGATGTGCATGTGTCTACCTATAGGATTCCATGTAGCCTTGTTTCTCAGCTTCTTTTTTTTCTTATTGCAGTTGTACTTTCCTCTCTAAACTGTTCTTTGATACAAGAAGATGAGTTTTAACACTACCAAATGCTATAATGTACTGGTATATAGAATCATAAGTTTCTAGTTCCAAATCATGAGTAAATGGAAGAATTTCCTAATATACTACAAAGTTTTCCAAATTTTGTGAGCTTATCCAAAGGATGGAAACTGATGGCGTAGTGGCTAAGAGTCGGCTGCTAACCAAAAGGTTGGCAGTTTGAATCCACCAGGCACTCCTTGGAAATCCTATCGGGCCTTTCTACTCTGTCCTGTAGGGTTGCTATGAGTCGGAATAGACTCGATGGCAATGGGTTTGTTTTTTTTTTTGGTTTATCCAAAGCACACAGTGGCTGCAAAAATGGTCTCAAACACAGCAATGATTTGGCGAATCATGCAGGACCAGGCAACGTTTTGTTCTGTTGTACATAGGGTGGCTACTAGTCAGAACCAACTCAATGGCATCTAACAACAACAACAATCCAAAAGCACAAGTCAAAAATAAATAACATTTTAGGTTTCACATCACACATCAGTGCTAAGATGTCGTTTTTTAGTTATTGTTACTCTTCTGATATTTTCAGAATCTTCAACTCATACCAAACAATTTTATAGGGGAATTTAGACAAAGCATTGCCTATTGCTTTATGATCAGTTTGTAACAATGATTCTAAGAATTGTTTAGGAGATAGATGATAGGCTAATATATAAGAATGTGATTATTCAGTGACCATAAACTAACATTTTCTTACAATGAAATGTTGCGGAGTTTTGTTTCAGAGAAGGTGTTCCTTTAACTTGGTTGGTCATTGGTTCCTTTATAAAGCTCAGCATGGCTGAAACTCACCTGTCTCATAATAATCATAGGCTTTGACTTTGGCTGGTTTTAAATTCTTTACTTGGATGTGTTGTTCCACTGAGAAGGAGAAACTCAGGCTTTGACTGGTTAGCTGAAGAAACAGGAGAACTGAATTAGAATAAAAGGTTAACTTAGTTTCTAGTTACCATCCTCTCACATTAAGATATTATAAAGCTCTGCCATTTTAAGACTTACATAACACACTCAATGACAGGTAAAATAAGGACGAAAGAACTAAGGACAAAAGAGACAATTGTATGAACAGTCCAATGCAGTAAACTGAGTCTTGTTGACCAGTGGAGGCTTCTTTTCCCTCCGTGGCCATTTTCTCCTCCCCCACCTATACATATGAAAAGTCTTGTTTATTATCTGGATTGAATTTTAGAGTCTCTAGCAGTTCTTCCAGATCTAGCACAGAGTCACAGAGAATCTTACCTCTTCAAAGTAAATTAGGACACGATTGGTGCTCACTTCAGTCCTTTGAATCTGAGGCCTTTCTTGGAGCTGTTCGTCAAAAGCATAAGCCAGAAATATAGGATGAGGAAATTTTAGGCTGACAGCAGTTTTCAAGTATTAATAACCTAAATGTGCTCAGAAGCATCCAAACTGCTTATACCAATTGCTTCAGGAATAATAGTAATATGATGAGGATGATGATGATATTTATTGAAACTTTACTGCATTCTAGTCACTATTTTAATTGATTTCATATGTATTAAATTATATAGTTTTCATACCAACACTATGAGGTAGGAACTATAATCATCTCCTTTTTCAGATGAGAAAAATGAGTACAAAGAGATTAACTCATCCATTGTTACACCACTATAAATGGCAAAGCTGGGTATCGTTCATATAGTCTGACTTCAGAGACTGCTCTCTTAACCACTAAGATTTCAAATTTGATCAACCACTAGAAATTGGAAATTTCATGAACATTCTTTTAAATACCACAAAGTGGACAATTTGTAGCTTTCCTAATATACATTGTTGCTGTATTTGACCACTGGATGAAAAAAAAGTGCTTCTTCACTTAACAGCTCAAAGAGACTTAAGAGTATAAATAAATTGCACCATTTGAGTTGGCCTTGGTTAGAACAATTATTTGTGTGGTAAAGTGTGAAGGTCTCTCTAAAAAAAGATTTAAAAAAACTGAACCCCAAAAAGAAGAAGGATTTAGAATTATATTTTAAGGAGGAATCTGAGCTAGGAAAAATAATTATCATATGTACTTGTCATTTGTCATGTGCTACAAATGTAATTTACATTACATTTTTAAGCTCATTTTACATTACATTTCACTTTTAAGCTCAATTTACTTTTGTTTAAATAAGCTAGTAGTTGAGTGTTTAACTGTTAGTGCCACCCAGGGACTCCACATAACCATGATACCCACTATTAAAATAATGGAAACATACTCTATTTAAATATGCATGTTTGATGAAGTAAATCTTGAACACCCACATCAATAAAATAAAATAAAATTGACAATCATAAATGTCAGCACTTGTCATGACTCATCTGTAAAGGATTCAGAGTTTACCTTTTTCACTGATGGTTTCACAGGTATGAAGCCTGATACCATCTTCACATCAGCAATGACCATGTTGGAACTGGGTCTTTCCCCTGTATAACTAGGAAGTCAAGGCATAGGTATTAGGCACTCAAACAAAATCCACTGGAATTATTCAAGACAGCAGTCTCCCCATCTGCTTTATTTCTAGCATTCCCTATCCCTAACTACCACTCAGTTCCTATATCTATGCTATTTGCTCCCATTACAGTGGTTCAGAGAAACCATTGTTTTTTTACTCATTCTCTGGAAATATGGCAACATTCTATTCTCATTGTTAAGTTTTTTCAATAAGAGTGAGTGAAGAAAAGTTTCTTCTAATACATACTTGAGGTGTTCCATATTCATTACGTGTGACTTTGAACTGTTGAGTTGCCCCCCCCCCAAAACAAAACAATTTCCCCACCTTGTACAAATGGTCTGGTAGTGATGAAGGATTTACCTAATGTTGATGTGAATCTGGAATTTCTTGCGTGCAGCTACTCCATCACAATTCTTGGGGAGAGTATCAACCTTCAGGGTGAAGGGGGCTTTCTGCTCTTTCTTGGGCAGGATGTTATATCTCAGGGATGTCTAAAATGAATTAAAAAGAAATCCTTTATCTTTTGCAAATAGTCTCACAATCTCTTCCAGGTGATTCACACTTCCACTTAGCACCCATTTCTCTTTCTACTTTGAAATTCACATTTCACTCTGAGACTTTTTCTTCCGTATTCAGAATCCCCCAAGCCCTGGCAGTCTCACCTGAAGGTACACACATCCTGTTCCTGTAACTGTTGTGTTGTACTCCCCTGGAATCTCTGGCAGCTGGACCTCCTGCAGCAATAGGCGATTGGCATCCCCTACTTGGAATTCTTTAGAGAAGGCCCCTGAAGACTTGACTGTGACTGTAGCTGCTTTTTCACTTTTAGTAAAAGTTTTTGCTCCATATTTGGAGAGAGCTTGGAGAGCTACCACTGTATCCTGAAAAAAATAGGTGCAGAAATCACAGGACAGTAAGCTATCAGTATTAAACTCGATATAAACCATATTAGCACTACCCTCTCTCAGACGTATTCAGTCTAAATTATAGTCCTTAAACTGAATTTCAATTCAGTTCAGATCATGGTTATTAACCATGAACTATTCTAGGTACTTTGTGGGGTAAAAGCAAAATTTTCCTCATTCAAGAATCTTAGAATATGCATATGGAGATTAGACTCAAATATTTGACATAAGCAGAGGCTATTTTAATAATTTATAAATTTATGCAACAAGTTTTAAATAAAAATTCAGAGAAGGGAGAAGAAAATATGTGATAGAATAGTAAGAGAAGACTGCAAAGAAGGTGAGAAGTAAGATCATCTCTGAATAATGCAAGAGGTTTATATAAATAGAAGAGAGGTGAATGGGAGACCAGAGTTAGGGATGTTTTAAATGAAGACATTAAAATAGCAGTGACCCAATTTCAGAAAAAATGAAAGGATCAGCCTAACCAGCTAAGAGTGTTCATGTTTACTGGGGAGAGGAAATATTTTGGGCAAAATATTAGCTAAGTTTAGACCTTGGAGGCAAAAAGATGTATTTTATCAGGGAAGTTATCTTTATGAAAACATTGCTTTAGGAAAATTACTCTACCTGTACTGTTAAGGGGTCCATTAATGAGATAAGATATGAGAGAGTGTAAAGGGAACAGAGCAGTAATCCATATATGAAATGTATAAGGCTGGGACTTGGCTGGTGAGGGAGGAATGGAGAAGGTGTGAATTAGAAACACCGACTACTCAACTATTCAGCTGTTAAAATATGTTGTCTCTATGTATGTGTTAATATATTTATTTTCCTCCTGTCCTCCTGCAGTCACTCCACAGACCTGGGTAGATGAGAAGCCCCCCTGAGGATTTTGTTGTTTGGTGATCCACTTCACAATGCGTGATGCCACAGACAGGTCCGCTGAAGATGGAGAAGGCTGGACAGTAAGATAGGTAAGGAGTATGTAGGACGTCATCTCCACTTCAACAGAAGGAGCCCGGGGTTGATAATAGAGTACATTAGCTTCTTGAAGTTTCCCAGGACGTTTCCAGTGGATTGAATCCTCTTTGAAATGGAAAAGAGTATTATCTTTAGCTTAGAGAATGGTATAGAGACCAAAGCTTATTAGTGGTTACCAGGAGTGGGTGAGAGGGAGGAGTAAAGGAGGACTCAATGCTTTGGGGACACTGAGCTTTGGTTAAAGGTGATGGTAAAATTTGGGAGCAGATAAGGGTGATGATTGAACAATGTGATGAACATAATCATTGAACTGTATATGTGAAGATTATTGAAATGTCAAATGTTCTGTTAAACATGTATTTACCACAATAAAAAAAAGTGTTAAAGTAAAAAAAAAAAGCTAACTCGTGAACGATCATTATAATTAGAGCTCACCTAATGTATTGACATAAATCAAGTGAAAGCATTAATAGTCACCAATCAAACAAATATTTGCCAAGAAGGTAAATTAAGGTTCCAGCTAGTCACACCTTGTCTTTGTGTCTGCTACATACTTGTGTGAAAAAGTTGTTCTGTATAGGGTCTATAATAAGTGAATTAATAAAACGGTCCATGTTACTTAAGAGAATTTAAGTGTTAGAGAAATGATAATTATTCTTACAATCATTATAATTAAGGTAGCATGATAGCTACTCAATAGGTCCTCTTTCCTCTTTTGATCACTGGTGATCGTTTGAGGTAAATTTTTCCATGGCAGCTCTTACCTTCTTTTATAGCTTCTCTGTCTAGTGATTTAAGCAGCTCACTTCTCATGGCCTGGTTTCCTGCTAGGGCAAAGGCGTAGGCCAATAAAGCCTTTGTGTAGACAAAACTCCCTTGTGCCTCTGAGGTGGATCTCCAAGCTGTTTCCAGACAGAATAGAGCATTGCGGACAACTGAGTGCTATGAAGAAGATGAAAAGAGATCTTAAGACAGCAGAACCAGGCTAATGAACAGTCCCCAGGCAAACCCTAGACTAAAAACGGCAACGTGCTTGTGTAATATCACAGTTCTGACCAGAGAATAGTTTCCCCTGTAGTTTCTGAAAGAACCTAGTTCTTTACGTTCCAGTGAAGTATACCAAAATTAAATATCATGAAACTCAGAACCAATTTTCCTCAGAGGTTCATAGTTTCATACTTTTTATTTCTTACATTTGCCAGGGAGGTACAGAGATTGGGCTAGTACGTACATTGACGGGCAGTGGCATCTCCAGCAGAGCGATGGTGATGTAGGCAGAGAGTGTCACCTCATCGTCTACTCCACCCTGTAAGGATCAGAGGCAGAGACACTCAAACATTTCCCTAATTTTTAGCCAGAGTTTGCCAGCTTTGCTTTTCCCCTTGGACAGCTTCACTGTTGTTCTTAGTTGCTGCTGAGTTAGCTCCAACTCATGGAGATCTTATGTACAACAGAGCAAAGATTTCATTAGGCAGTTTCTTTTCTTGTGTCATATTGTTGATTTCCTTCTTTCCTTCTTTACCCTAAAATTCTTGAATCTGTCCCAGATCACTTTTAATAGTATATTGGTATTTTTTTTCACACCATTTCATCCAATAAAAAACTATTAACTTATTGCTAGATTTTGGAGCTTTAGAGTCCACCATTTGTCCTCAAAGCTATGCCACAGGATCTGAGGAGCCTATAGGAGCATCATTCCCTCTTCACATTCCTATCTTTAGGGACAGAAAAAAAAATTACAGAAGGCATCACCTTAATAGCATTGTTTAGCAGTGATCCCAAGCGTTGGAAACAACCATTTTCCTTTTGCCTCCGTGACAGCCAGGCGAGGGCATTCATGATGTGTGAAGTCTCCACAAAGATGTACGACTGGGCTTGAGCAAAAGACTTGAGCACAAATGCAGTGAGCCTGTCCAGCAAAGAAGAGACAGAGGCATGAGGACTACCTCCCTTATAAACTCACTTTGTGCACTGCCTCCAGACATTGATCTTCACCATTCAGCGTGGGGGAAATCAGTGCGAGGATTAGTGGGGGAAATGATACTTGAGAGCTGATTATTCTCTAATCTAGCAAACATCTTAATCTCTATGCTTATATTTCACTCTTTTGGTTTCTGCAGAGTAGATGCTTTTTACTTTTTTCTTATGCAACCATTGTAAAAGTCTCCAAGCCTCCCTACCACCAATACTGCCATTTCCTGAATGATTTTTCCCCATTTTTTTACATCACTGTCTCTTCATGCCCTTTCCCTCCTCTCTTCCCTTAATGCACAGTGTAGAAGCTTCTTCCTCTGTCATTTCACATAATAACATTTTCTGCCTTATAGTTCCATTTTGGAGATACTTATTTCACCCTATGAGCTGTGCTATCAGAGCAGGTGGGCTTTCAGAGATGAAATGGTGAGATCATCCAGTTGGTTGGGATGATATACACGTGGGTTTTTAAAGGCTAACTTTTTCCATAATGGTACTCCAAGTATTAGAAAGTAGCCATATTTACAGAACGCTGAAATATCATGGGTCTACAGATAGTATATGTAAATAATTATCTTACCATGTGTTTCCCTGAGTTCTACCACCATGACCCCCAAAGGTGCTGTATGAACCATCATTGTGCTTATAATTCAACTGTCTTTGGTACCCTGTGGAGGAAGTTTTACACACTTATGAAGTAGCAGAAACACTGGAGGATTAATCAGTCTTTTCTTCAATGCTTGTTGAGAAACCATAGGACAACTACTGTTTTATTAAAATGTTTTCAAGACCTGATGATACCATCGAATTTTATGGTTGTGTGTTGTTGTTGTTGTGTGCTGTTGAGTCAATTCTGACTCATAGCTATGTTGTAGGACAGAGTAGAACTGCCCGCATAGGGTTGCCTAGGCTGAAATCTTTATGGGAGCAGATTGCCAGGTCTTTTCTCACTTGGAGCAGCTGGTGAGTTCAAACCTCCCACCTTTCGGTTAACAGCCGAGCACTTAACCACTGGGCCACCAGGGCTCCGGTTGGGACATTTTATTGGATACCACAGCAACAATGACTATCAAATCTTAACCAAAGGGATGTTGTTTGAGTTTACTGATGGATATAGTTAGGGAAATCAATTAAGATTTTTCCATTTGGGTTAATCTCTCACCACTGATGAGATGGCTGATGGCTTTGGACTTGATTTTCTCTGTTAGCTGTCGTGTCTCACGAAGATAGTTCAGAACATAGATGTTAGGGACAAAAAGGACCATATTCTGTTCTCCACAACCATAGGGCATCTGGACAAGATTCTGAAGGTTTTGCATTGCAGAGCCTAGTATATCACCTTGGGATTAAAAGAGTTAAAAAAAAAAAAATCAGAGGAACTCAGAGATCATTTGTATTGGGATAGGAAAATAGATTATTAGCTGAGAGGCCAAATCTCTCATGGAGGGGAAGACCAGAAAGCACAAGAGGTGAAGAAACAAAAAAGAGAAAGGAAAGTGAAAGGCAGAAGAATAAAGCAGATAGTTCAAGGATGGAGAAAGAAGGGAAGAAACTGAAAGACAGAAGATACATCTTTTCTGATGAGCCACCTATCTGGTAAAACTGAACTATCAATTATTTTCAAATCTACTAGGAGGCATCATCACCTAGTCAATCTCTTGAAGATGAGGGCGGAGAGAGGTGGTCCTGCTATTTTTAAAGAGCCTGTCAAGGCATAATAGGAATAGCACAACACTTATTGGATCCCATTTCTGAGTAATAAACTGTGTTAGCCTAGGCTTAGTGCTCTTTCTCTCATATCAATGACCAGTGTCAGGAACTTCATTAACCATGGCTGGTGAGGTCCCATGCACTAGAATTACAGAGATGGACAGCAGCTTCCTTTGGAGCTGGAGACTTACCCAAAACTGTGTATGTTGCCCTAGTAGATCCTTCAACCACATTTGAAGGAACTTTTAGAGACAACTTTTCAGGAACTCCAGTATCTAAAGAAAAAGAAATGTATACAAGGGAGTTAAGATGTAAATTTAATGGTCTCCAGTGCATAGTTGTTTATAAAGCTATATGACTAGATGAGATCACCAAGGGATACTTAAGGAGAGAAGAGAAGAAATCTGCAGACTGAGCATTGTCCTCAAGATGATTCTAGATGGTATAGAATTGAATTTTCTTAGTGCTAATTTTTATTTGATTATATTAGTGGGCATTGGTAAAATACTGGTTTTCTACATACGTTGGTGACCTGAAGTTCCTTTTCAAAATAATAGTAAGTGGCTTAAAAAAAAACCCGTTGCCGTCGAGTTGATTTCGACACATAGCGACCCTATAGGACAGAGTAGAACTGCCCATAGGGTTTCCAAAGAGTGGCTGGTGGATTCGAACTGCTGACCCTTTGCTTAGCAGCAGAGCTCTTAACCATTGTGCCACCAAGGCTCCAGCAAGTGGCTTAACATGAGAATTTTATCCATTTTTGACACTTACCTGATGCACAGAGCAGTGTGTTGAAAGTTTCTTCCTTTTCTATTCCTTCAGGCTTTGTATTGAAAAAATAAATAAAAAAATAAAGTGATACTGAGTGTTTAGGAGGAAAGCAACTACTTTAAAGTAGAGGAGAAAGTGATAGCAAAAAAACGGTGCTGTAGATACATCCATACTCTTGGGAATGGCGTCACTGTCACATAAATATTGTTGCTAGTTTGTGTCAGGTCAATTCTGACTCATGGTGACCCCATGTGTGCAAAGTAGAACTGTACTCTGTAAGGTTTTCAAGACTGTGAACTTTTGGAAGCAGAGCACCAGGATGTCTTCTGAGGTGACTCTGGGTGGGTTGGAACCACGAACCTTTCACCTAGTAGTCAAACACTTAGCCATTTGTATCACCCAGAACGCCTACATAAATATGAGGTAATGTTGTATTATAAAATAAGACCCTCAAGACCCAGAGAAAGTATATTACTCACATACCTCAACTAACAATGGCTTGACTACTGTATCTTTCTGTCCTAATGTCTGGATTTTAGGCTTCTCTTCGTCGCACAGTTCCTGAGACTGCAGGGCTTCTGCAGATGCTGTGAAATTCACTTTCCCTGAGGGGAAGGAATGGTTAGACAGTGATTTTTTATATTGAGTAGTTTCTCCTTTTAAAGTTTCCCCAGTATATCTACTGGTTTTCTAATAATAAACTCATTCTTAAAAGAGGAGAAAAAGCATGACTCTGGGTCAGAGAGAAAAGCAAATCGTCAGAACGTAAGAGGTGAAATGTGTTAACATATTTATCACTCACCCAGGGACTTTGGGGTCACAGTCCAATACACAGTTTTCCTCCCATTTTCACAGATGCAGTGAGACTCCACATTCTTTTCTACTGGGACGGCCAGGAAGTTAGAAGACTCCTCCAGTTGCACACTGACCTGTCCTCCACACCCATGTGTGTGTTTGAGAACAGAGGCAGATAATAGGGTTAATCATAGGGAAAGAAGCTTAGAGGGGCAATGCATACTAGTCTAGAAGCCCATTGCCATCGACTCACCAACTCACGGTGACCCCATGTGCTACAGAGTAGAACTGCTCCATAGGGTTTTCTTGGCTGTGATCTTTACGGAAGCAGTTCACCAGGTCTTTCTTCCATGGCTCCGCTGGGTGGATTCAGAATGTTAACCTTTAGGTTAGTAGCTGATTGCAAATCACTTGTGCCACCCAGGGACATACAAGGCTTTAAGAAATTGTGCAAACAAGCTAAATCCTATCATGTGCTTTATAGTTTAGGTGTTTGCAATCAGGGAATTGAAAAGCTGACAAGAATTAGAATAAGGAATGTCCACGATTTAAGGCTTGTGTTAACACAAGGAAGAGATATTTCCTTTAGTCAGTGTGAAAAAGTGAAATAATCAGGTGGAAATAATGTCTGAACTTAGGAAAACACAGATATAGAGGGCTGAATAAATATAACCTTACCACCTTGAACAAGTCAGGTAGCTTTGCTCTTATTACCTATTTCATCCCAATATTAAGATACATTATATTCAGTTATGATTTACCCTTGAGACTAGAGACCTAGGTGATAAGCGGTTATCATATTCCTTCCTTCTACTTTCACCCACTTCCAGAGAAGTGCCCTTACCCAAATGCAGTGGGACAAATAGTTGAGCACGGTAGCTTTGAGTGTGAAAGCTTCTCCTCGCACCACAGAGTAGGGCAGGGTGAGTTCTAGGAAGAAGGGCTGGAAGACTTGAAGAGAGATGATGGGGGAGAGGCCAAGTCCTCTTGTTCCGGACAAGCAGAATGCACTGGCCTTCCATTCCGTGATGGTGTCCGGGACTTTCACCGTCATCTGACTTTCACCTGATAAACTAGTGAAGGGAAAAAGAAGAGTGAATGAATCCCTTGTTTAGCAAGAGCTATAGCTGAACCTAAGAGCGTAATAATTAAGTTGCCTAGTACGATAAAAAGAGCCCTGGTGGTGCAGTGGTTAAACGCTTGACCGCTAACCGAAAGGTCGGCGGTTCGAACACCATCAGCCGCTTTGTGGGAGAAAGATCTGCTCCCATAAAGATTACATCCTTGGAAACCCTGTGGGGCAGTTCTACCCTGTCCTACAGGGTTGCTATGCGTTAAAATCAACTCGACAGCAACTGGTTTGGTTTTTAAGCACAGTGAATATTAAACTTGACCTTGACATAAGGTTTGGCACCCCTAGTGAGGTCTCTGAAAGATTTGTTCCTTTTTTGGGAGGGTGGGGGGAGGCAGAGGGGAATGCATAGCTTTCTGCTTTCTATTATTTTAGGGATCTCAGGAACCGAGGTCTAACGCATTATTTAGCTATGAAATAGACGAACCGTGAACCTAAATATTTACTGGAAAAGAATGGAGCAGAACTGAAAGGAACTGGAATCAAGGATAACAGCAGAATATAGGGAAGGATTCAAATCTTCTCCTAAACCAAATTCGAGGCAATACACAACTTACTCAAGTATCACCAAGTCCCAGATCCAAGTCTCGGGGAAATACCTCCGGACTATCTCATTTACTTGAACAGTCTGTACATTTTCTGTCATTATCATTGGATAACTGACTCCTGGAGGAGCAGGTAACCCAGGTACTGTTCCGGCTGCCGCAATTCCTATGAGGAAACAAGACACTGTGAGCCTCATTTTTATCATTAATTTCTAATAACTGCCTATTTATCAAGTAGGATAAGATCATTAGCTCAGGGAATGTTTGTCACTGGAACAATTTAACCTACCAGTTTGTTACTTTGCTCACTTATCTATTTGCCCTATAAGAAGGCTAACCCCATTGCCTCTTCAAATAGAAGCTAGAGGTAATTGTATTTCTCTGGCAATAAAAGCAAACGTAGCTCTCCCTAAACTGAAATAAAAAAGATTATTCAACTGGTGAAGGGAAGGATAAAGAGTAATTGAATACACCAAATATTGTCTTTAAACTGAGGTGGTGATCACATGTCCTCTATTCTACTGAGAATCAAACAAGAGGAACAGATATCAGCTGAAGCAAGAGGAATTCAGGAATGATTTTTTTTTTAAACCAGTGAGTGAGATACAGAGACATAATAAACAATAGGAGACAGAAAAGTATGTTTTATAAACTGTGGGGACTCAAGAAAGAAAAGAGAATGAATTTTAGTTTGGCCAAAAAAAAAAAACAACAAAAAGAAAATTTTTACCTAAATCAAAAAACAAAACAAAACCCATTGCTGTTGAATAGATTCCAACTCATGACAACCCCATGTATTACAGAATAGAACTGCTCCATAGGCTTTTCTTGGCTGCAATCTTTATAGAAGCAGGTCACCAGGCCTTTCTTCCATGCTTAGTGCACTGAAACCACTAACCTTTAGGTCAGTAGCCAAGTGTAAACTGTTTGTTTGCACCACCCAGGGACCTACTTTTACCAAATTGGAACTTAAGATGATCACTAAAGGACAGGAAGCAGAGGAGAATGGGAAGGACATTTCAGGGAAAGGGATATGCAAGGGATAGGAAAGACACAGAGGTGGGAAAGGATGCTTCAAAGGGACAGCAAAAAGCTTACCTTTCTGGAGTAGAATGTTTATATAGGATGTGTGTTCAAACATAGTAGAGTAAGTAGTGGATGTAATTATATAAAAAATACCAGAAAGGCTGTTGTTAGGTGCCGGGGAGTTAGTTCCAACTCATAGTGACCTTATGTGCAACAGAACAAAACACTGTCCTGTCCTGCACCATCCTCACAATCGTTGTTATGGTCGATCCCATTATTGCAGCCACTGTGTCAATCCATCTCCTTGAGGGTCTTTCTCTTTTTCGCTGACCTTCTACTTTACCAAGCATGATGTCCTTCTCCAGGGACTGGTCCCCCCGATAACATGTCCAAAGTACGTGAGATGAAGTCTCGCCATCCTTGCTTCTAAGGAGCATTCTGGCTGTACTTCTTGCAAGACAGATTTGTTCATTCTCCTGGCAGTCCATGGTATATGCAATATTCTTCACAAACACCATGATTCAAAGGTATCAATTCTTCCTCAGTCTTCCTTATTCATTGCCCAGCTTTCACATGCTTATGAGGTGACTGAAAACACCGTGACTTGGGTCAGGCGCACCTTCCTTAGTCCTTAAAGTGGCATCTTTGCTTTTTAACACTTTAAAAGGTCTTTTGCAGCAGATTTGCCCAATGTAATGCATCCTTTAATTTCTTTCTTTTCTTCTTTTTTTTAAACTCATGTTTGTTACAGCTCCTTTTTCTTTTCTTTTTTTAAATTATCATACTTCAGATGAAGGTTTACAGAACAAACTAGTTTCTCATTAAACAACTAGTACACATATTGTTTTGTAACATTGGTTACCAACCCCTAGACATGTCAACACTCTCCCTTCTCAACCTTGGGTTCTCTATTACCAGCTTTCCTCTTCCCTACTGCCTTCTTGTCCTTGCTCTTGGGGTGATGTGCCCTTTTAGTCTTGTTTTGTTTTATGGCCCTGTCTAATCTTTGGCTGAAGGGTAAACTTCAGGAGTGACTTCAGTACTGAGTTAAAGGGTGTCTAGGGGCCATACTCTCTGAGTTTCTCCAGTCTGTCAGGCCAGTAAGTCTGGCCTTTTTTTGTGAGTTAGAATTTTGTTCGACATTTTTCTCCAGCTCTGTCCAGGGCCCTTTATTGTGACCCCTGTCAGAGCAGTCAGTGGTGGTAGCTGGGCATCTAGTTGTGCTGGACTCAGTCTGGTGGAGGCTGTGGTAGTTGTGGTCCATTAGTCCTTTGAACTAACCTTTCTCTTGTGTCTTTGGTTTTCTTTCTCCCTTGCTCCAGATGGGTTGTGACCAGTGGATGGCCACTCACAAGCTTTTAAGATCCCAGACGCTACTCACCAAAGTAGAATGTAGAACATTTTCTTTATAAACTATGTTATGACAATTAAGCCATATGTTCCCCAAGACCATGGTCCCCAAAGCCTTCAGTCCAGTAATTCGGTCCCTCAGGGTGTTTGGATCTGTTCATGGAGCTTCCATGACCTTGCCTTGGACAAGTTGTGCTGGCTTCCCCAGTATTGTGTGCTGTCTTACCCTTCACCAAAGTTACCACTTATCTATTGTCTATTTAGTGTTTTTCCATTCCCACCCCTCCCCTCCCTGGTAACCATCAAAGATTGTTTCTTTTTGTGTGTAAACCTTTTCATGAGTTTTTATAGTAGTGGTCTTGTACAATATTTGTCCTTTTGTGATTCACTTGTTTCACTCAGCATTATCCCCTCCAGATTCATCCATGTTGTGAGATGCTTCACAGATTCATCACTGTTCTTTATCGTTGTATAATACTACATTGTGTGTATGTACCAGAGTTTGTTCATCCATTCGTCTGTTGATGGACATCTAGGTTGTTTCCATCTTTTTGCTATTGTGAACAATGCTGCAACGAACATAGATGTGCATATGTCTATTCATGTGATGGCTCTTATTTCTCTAGAATATATTCCTAGGAGTGGGATTGCTGGATCATATGGTATCTATATTTCTAGCTTTCTAGGAAGCACCATACTTGTTTTCCAAAATGGTTGTACCACTTTGCATTCCTACCAGCAGTGCATAAGAGTTCCGATCTCCCCGCAGCCTCTCCAACATTTGTTATTTTCTGTTTTTTCATTTGTGCCAGTAAAGTCGGGGGGAAATACTATCTCATTGTAGTTTTGATTTGTATTTCTCTAATGGCTAGTGATTGTGAGCATTTCCTCATGTATCTGTTAGCCGCTTGAATGTCTTCTTTGGTGAAGTGTCTGTTCATTTCCTTTGCCCATTTTTTAATTGGATTATTCGTCTTGTTATTGTAGATGTGTTGGATTTTCCTGTAGATTTTAGAGATTAGACATTTGTCGGATTTGTCATAGCCAATTTTTTTCCTCCAGTCTGTAGGTTCTCTTTACTCTTTCGGTAAAGTCTTTTAATTAGCGTAAGTGTTTAATTTTTAGAAGATTCTAGTTATCTAGCTTATTTTCTGGAGTTTGTGTGTTGTTAATTATGGTTTGTATCCTGTTAATGCCTTGTATTAGGGCTTCTAGCATTGATCCTATTTTTTCTTCTATGATCTTTATAGTTTTTGGTTTTATATTTAAGCCTTTGATCCATTTTGAATTAGTTTTTGTGTATGGTGTGAGGTATGAGTCCTGCTTCATTTTTTTGCAGATGGACACCCAATTTTGCCAGCATCATTTGTTAAAAAGACTGTATTTTCCCCATTTGATGAACTTTGGGCCCTTGTTGAAGATCAGATGACTGTAGGTGGATGGATTTACATCTAGGTTCTCAATTCTGTTCCATTAGTCAACGCATCTGTTGTTGTACCAGTACCAGGCTGTTTTCCCTACTGTAGCTGTATAGTAGGGTCTGAGGTCAGGTAGTGCGAGTCCTCCTACTTTATTATTCTTCTTCAATAGTGCTTTACTTATCAAGGACCTCTTCCTTTTCTATGTAAAGTTAATTAGTTTTTCATCTCTTTAAAAAATGCTGTTGGTATTTGCATTGGGATTGCATTGTATTTGTAGACTGCTTTGGGTAGAGTTGGCATTTTCATAATGTTGAGTCTAACTATCCATGAGCAAGGAATATTTTTCCATTTATG